TGGCTGGGCGTCCTGCCCAGACGCCAGGCCGGTGGACGTGGCTGCCGGACCTGGCGCCACCACCACCTTGCCGCCACGAGCCACCACCACCTTGCTGCCACGAGCCAACCACCTTGCTGCCACGAGCCTCGACATCCCCGTACTTTGATTTTTATTGAGGTTGTGTTTTTTTTTAAGGTAAAGGGCAATATTGTAACTTCAACATAAGTTTGCGGGCTTTATGTGGAGATTTGCGGGCGATGTTTAGCATTCCACAAAAGTTAGTTGGATATTTGCCTAAACTTTTTTCCACTTTAAGTTTCCATTTTTGTCCTTATTTTGTTTCCTACCTTCGAGTTTTTCACGACACCTACTAATTTTATTCTTTAGGGAATAATATATGTTTCTTAAGGGGTTTTTTATGCGTTGTTAAAGGAATCATCGGGTAGACAAGCCATCAAGATGATTCAAGCTAGAAAGTGATCTTATAATAATAAAATAGTCTTATCCCTACCTTTTAAAAAGTATAACAAAACACATATAAATATTTAATAGTGTGAGGACAATTATATCCTTAAAATATTTGGTTATACCGATTAAAAGTATGAGAAAATTAAACTATTAATAGTGTGAGGACAATTATATTCTTAAAATGTTTGTTTACATATATAATAATTGTTATTAAAATCGCGATCTGGACCGTAGAATCGTACAATCCTGATCAACTGCACCCAAGCGATTTGAATCATATTCAAAATCGTTGTGTGGTAGAACCGCTCATAAATCGGATAGAATCGGTGGAATCGGATTGATTCTACGATTTCACACCGTATTTAACAATTCTACCCTTGCAAAAACTTTGATATTTCGAAGCCCATAACTTTTGATTGCGAAGTTAAAATTGGGCTTATAATATACCGTTGGAAATCTCTTGAAGTATATATTTTAATCTGATTGGTCTCACATCCATATCATTTATATATTGTATGATCATATGGCCTAAAGAGTGCAACTGTGCAAGGGTGTCATATTTGGCCTAATTTAATTTTATTCAATGGTTTACCTATTTTCAATATAAATTGAAATTAAGCTTATGAAATATCAATTTAAAACTCTTTTAAAATTATGCTATCCAACCATTTGAATTTCTTTGGAAATATAATAGATTTGGGTATATAAAACACTTTTATAATATAAGTTTGTTGTGGTTGTCATTCATTGGTTATCTCTTTAGACCCTAAACTAATTTGATCTTACATACACTTAGTATTTTATTATCATTGAGTTTTGTATTAGGAGAAACAATTTTAGGTGTCAAAAACATACTTTGTTCATTATTTAACATTAATTGTCTCATACTCTTGTGATTGACCTACTAGATTAGATTGTGTATCAATATTTTATGACTTTATAAATAGTGTACTAATAAAACTATTTTAAGTTTGTATTGTTGATATTATGTTAGCAAAACTTTATTTATTATCATTCTTATTGCTTGAGAATTAAGTTTTTAGTTATTTAGTATCATTTTGAAACCCAATTTTTAAAATGTTGTAGTTTTTAGCTACTTGACACATCCGCGGCACCGCCCGCCCCAATCTAGTGGAGACCTGATCTTTTATTATGCTCATATTGTTTTGTTGGTCAACAATACATAACATTAATTCCAAAAAGATGATGTTGAGATATGATTTTAAATATTTCCTTCATCACCTAAACTTAGTAAAATGAGATGGAGACATAAAATCTTAGAGACAACGATTATTAAGTGAGTATGGTTTCTGTATGTAGTTTGTACCCATTCGCCTTGCCGCCTTGCCATCTTGACCTCTTGTTAATTAATTGGGGTTATTTTAAGAGAGCATGTGGGTAATACATAAAGAATGATATATTGATATGTAAGTGTGATTAGTGGGGTGTTTTTAATAGTTTGTGGGCAAGATAAACAATAAAAAATTTGTGTGAGTAGGATTCAAGGGAAAGAAAACAATAAAATAGTAATAATAGTTATATTCCAAAATAAGAAGTGTTAAAATAATGACTAATATATAGCAGCAACATAAAATTAGGACGACTTATTTATTAATGTCGTACCAAAACCGAAAGCAAGCCACCATGAGCATGTGTAATAAGACAAATAACTAAAGGAATAACACTAATTTTTGGAATAAAAATTTGAAATAAAAAGTCATATAGAGTGAGGGATAGTTCAAGTGGTTAGAGCTTTCCTCCCGATTTCAGGAGATTCTGAGATCGATTCTCACCCCATCCTTGTGGCTCTCTAAACACCATTAAAAAAAAGGGGAAAGGGAAATCTAATAAATATTAATACATGACAATAGAATCAAATAATGTAGTTTTATTGAATTCAATAACAAGAACATAAAGAAACTAAAGGGAAAAGGTCGGAAATGAAATTTGGCTATTTCCAGCCTATGAAACACTTATTTTGAAAAACCCTAAAGAGAAAAAATTAGAGAGGAGACGGTTAGAGTTCTTTACTAGTTGTTTTTATTTTTATTTTTAACACCTCTAAGGAATAACACTAATTTTGTTAAAAAAAATAAAATAAAATATGAATTGGGTCTGGGCAATTAACCCAAGGAGAAGGTTTTATGGTAAAACCAATTGGTGATATAATAACCGTTGCACATTGAACATTCTTCCTGCACTCTATTATATTGTTGTAATTTATATCATTTTTCAACAAGGGGATCTTAATCTTATGTACAGAGTAGTTGTGAAAGTAACTCTGTCTGATTCGATCATTTGATTGTAGTGTAAATTGATCTTGTATTCAATCTCGCATAATCTTTACCTAAGAAAACAACTTATATTGAATTAAAGTCAAATGACTGAAGTCGAATAAATCCCACCATATAACCTCTTATATTGTCCTAAACAGGAGACCTTTGGAGTCATTAACTAAGTACTTTTTGTTGTGTTTAAAGAGAGGAAAATGTAGGTTTGTTTACCTAGGTCGTGTGAGTTGGTCCAATCGGGCCCGTGCCCGGATAATCATTGAAGGCCTTTTCTCTTCATCATCTTCCTATCCTTGTAAATCTCTTATTCATTACTAGTAGAAAACACACAAATGAGCACCGGTTCAAAAGCAGCTTATTGGCACCGGTTTTGAATCGGTGCGAAATAGGCGGGTGCCCATTATTGAAGTTAATAGATATGTTATAATGGGCACCGGCTGGGCACCGGTTTAAGGGACAAACCGATGCCCATTAGTACCTAGAAAATAAAAGATTGTTGTTTCTAAGATATTATATTTTCAGTACTTGATTGCTTATTGAATGTGGAGGGCGGTTACCTATGAATCTCTTCGTTAAGAGAGTTGATCGTTGATCGTTGACATTTTAAGAAAAATGTCGTTATGAATTATCCTTCATTATATACATCAACCTTGTTCTTCATTATACTTTTGAACTTCTATACTTATTCTTATTGGAAAGCTAACTTAATCCTATACCTCTTATATACTTCTAGTTTATGTGGCTCCATACTATTTATTTTGTTATGTTTTTTGTTGTTGAAAAAAAAAAGTTCCCTAAATGCCTTAGTGTGAGAGTGGTGTGTAAATGTTAAAGAATGAATCAACGAATATTATGTTGTAGGAATTTGCAATGATACGACTTTCCCTTCTCATTCACGGCTCAATTAATATATATATATATATATGTATGTATATATGATACAATATTACTAACCCTAAAATAAAAGATATACTAGGATATTAGAAAGTTAACTAAAATACATAAGATAATATATTCTAACAAATATACGATATTATCTCAATATATCTCAATACCCCCCCTTCAAGTTGGAGCATGCGGGTCAAAAATGCCCAGTTTGGAAAGAAGATAATCAAACCGTGTTTTTCCGAGAGCCTTTGCAAAAATTTCCACAAGTTGAGATGAAGTTGAAACATGAGAAGGAGAAATCAATCCTTCTTAATTGCATCACGAACAAAGTGGCAGTCAACCTCAATGTGCTTTGTTCATTCATCAAAAACCAGATTCTTTGCTATGTATAAAGCTGACTCACTATCACAAAACAACTTAATTGCCTTTGGATGTTGAACACCCGAACTCAACAACAGAGCTTTAAGCCACTTTAGCTCACAAGTGACCCCAGCCATGGACCTGTATTCGGCTTCTGCAAAAGACCGAGACACTGTATGTTGCTTCTTTTTATTCCACAAAATAGGCGATTTACCTAGAAATACAAACCAACCAGATAAAGAGCGACGAGTGAGAGGACAAGCTGCCCAATCTGAGTCGCACCAACCCTGCAGATTCAAATCACAATCAGCACTTAACAAAATACCTTGAGCCAGAGTTCCTTTCAAATAGAGAACCACCCTCAAAGCCGCATCCCAATGCTCACTCCGTGGCTCTTGCATAAATTGGGACAACACATGAACAGAATATGCCAAATCAGGACGAGTGACCGCAAGATAGATCAAACGCTCCACAAGTCTGCGATACGACTTCAGATCCGAAATAAGATCGCCATTAGCTAAGCCAAGCTTGGGGTTCTGCTCTATGGGAAAACCACTTGTCTTTGGCCCCAACAAGTCTGCTTTAGAGATGATATCCAACGTATATTTCCGTTGGCACAGAAACAAACCTGGTGAACTACGGGCCACCTCTATACCCAAAAAATACTTCAAAGGACCAAAATCTTTCATCTTGAAACAATCACTAAGATAGGCTTTAAAAACAGTAAATGCAGTGGAATCATTTCCAGAGATAATTAGATCATCGACATAAACTAAGATATTTATCTGAACATTGCCTTTAGTATATGTAAATAAAGAATAATTAGAATAAGATTGTAGAAAATCATACTGTTTTAAAGCCGTTACAAGCTTTGAGAACCAACATCTGGGAGCCCGTTTCAAACCATACAACGACTTGCGCAATCTGCAAACCAATGAAGGATTCGAGCTTTCAAAACCAGGTAGTAACTTCATGTAGATTTCCTCATCAAGATCACCGTGTAAGAAGGCATTATGAACATCCATTTGATGAAACTCCCAATTTTGAAGCCGCAATAGCAAGAAAAATTCGAACCGTTGTCATTTTTGCAACCGGAGCAAAAGTTTCATCATAATCAACACCTGCCTTCTGATGATTCCTAAACACCACCAAACTGGATTTGAGTCGATCAGCATCCTCATTTGACAAAAATTTGGTCTTATAGACCCATTGACTACCAAGAGCTCTTTTTCTGGGTGGAAGATGTTCCAAGGTCCACTTCTCGTTATCTTCTAAAGCTAGAATTTCTTCTTTCATAGATTTCCTCCAATCTTCAAACTTCATAGCCTCCTTAAAAGTCCTCAGATCATTGCTCTTAACAACGGCTGCAAGAAAATTCCAACAATTCACATAATAAGTGTCATAAATTATATAATATGTTAAAAGGTACGAAGTACCTGAAGGGAGATTGGAAGCCGGAACGGAGCGAGACCAACTATTAGCAAAAAATGTGTGTGTCATGTAATCATGAAGTAAGACCAAAGGAAATTTTTCTCGACATCCCCGACCCATAGAATTGGATTGCAGCTGCTGGTTGGAGCTGTCATCTAGCGAAACAGTGGATAGTCGTGGCTGCTGTTGCACAGACCCAGCACCCGCTGGGTTTCCATCGGACTGAACAGTAGCTGGGTGTGGCTACTGCTGCCCGGACCCAGCGCCCAATGTAACACCCCCAAAGCTCCCTCTACGGAAATACTAGTATAATACATATAATTATACTGTAGAGATAGACTTAGGCGTATTACCGCCGCGTGATTACGCAAGGCTACTCAAACTTACTAACCAAAACCAATACTTTGCAACGGAAACTTCAATACTTCCTTTATTAATAATAATATAAATAGTAACCATAGTCATGAGTAGTCATAGTTAAACAAAGACCAACATTCCTAATCTAGATGAAGAACATTCCAGGGACTCCCATATGCATAATTCTTGACTCTACCTGAAATTAGTCAACACTGCTTATTATTACGGTAAACAGCGCGAACCAAAACAAATAAGAAATACGGCAAAATATGCTAAGTACGATAAGTGCAAGATAAGTGAATTCAATTTATTCGCAAACATGCTTTTAATACCAATTCCAATAATCAATCCAATGAATTCCAAAACTCATGATTAAACCAATTCTCAATAATTCAATAATTCGATGAAACGATTTATAAAACCAATTCCTCTTTTGAAAACCAATTCTCAATATTCTCAAAATAATTCCAATAACTCAATAATAATGATTAGTCAAATCAATTATTTTCGAAAACTCAACCTCCTCTCTAAGTGTGCACACCCCCCAAGCTAGTCTCCTACTATTTCAAGGCTATTCTTGGAGAAAGACTAAGTCATACAAAGTCCATAGACTTCAATGAATCTGCATAGTGGGATTAATATAATAATTATGCTTGTAAAGCTTTTTAATAAATAATTCAATAATCCTCATAAAATTCCTCTTTGAATAAAAATCAACCTTTGTAATAGGTTAACTCAAAACTCCTTTTTATTTAATTCAACATGCTTTAAAAATCAACCTTTTAATAAATACTTGAGAATTAAATCTAATATAAGGAACTTTTCAAAATCAATAACTGTTCATTTGAAAAACCTTTTATTTAATTCATCAAACTTTTCAAATCAATTTCTTTATTCAAACTTGATACATAATTCAACCATTCAAACATAACATTAATCCTCCAATTTATTTATCAAACCAATTATTTTAACATGCTTTTATTCCATAAATCATAGTTCAATTGAATTTAATTCAATCATCATAAAAATCATGCAAAACATGCTTATATAATCCAATCAATTTCAAAATTATCTAGCCACCTAACGAAACTTTGGTCCTTGCTTAGCAAACACAAAGAAACTTCAAGCACTTGGATCAAACACACCCTACAATTAAATATAACCTTAATTGATATAAGGTTAACAAATAATCACAACAATTAAATTAAAACCCCCCAACTACATGTACATGAACCTTTTAAATTATTTTTCATAAACATGAATAAAATTCTGATTTTATTTAATTAAAACTACTCATAATAATTTTTTTAAATCCCCCATAATAATAATTAATTAATTAAATAAGAGAAGAGAAGAAGAATAGGTAGAAAACCAAGGGAAAGAGAGAGAGAGGCGGCGGCAAGGGCAGCCTTCCGGCAGGTGGCTGGAGGTGGCGGTCATGGTGATTGGTGGTGGTGGCGCAAGAAAGTAAAGATAAGAAAAAGAGAAGAGAAATTAAAGAGAATTGGATTTGCGTTGGAAAGAATAGGCAGAACTTGCGGAGGACATAATTCCTTCAATATAACTCTAAATTAGGTGATTCTTGAGCCTAAACTCAAGGAATTTTTGATAGAAACAATTTTTTGTGAAATAGAAAAACTCCAAAAATTACCAAAAGTGTCTGAAAATTGGCTCCAAAGATATACAGGCTGATTTTCGTTTAGAAAAGAGGAGAAGAAGAGTAAGAGAGAAGAAGAGAATTGAGTTTTTGGTGTGAAGAATATGAGAAGGTATTTATAGGCTAGCTCATGCAAGAATTGTGACAAGAGAATGTGGGAAGAATTATGGTAAAAAGAATTAACGAAATTAATTGGAGAAGAGCGTTAAAGAAATATGGAAAGTTTGAGATTAAGGTGATTAAGAATTATCAAAATTAAGGAAAGTATGTTGTCATGAAAAATAATATGGCAAAGGAGGTTTACTTGGGGAATAATAAAAGATAAAATAAGGTAAGGAAATAAGATGATCAAATATTTAGGATGTGGAAAATAAAATTAAGGAAAATAAGAGATTTTAAGGAGATAATTAAAATACAATTTACCAAAATAAATCACCCAAAAATCCAACCAAGTGGCCAAAATTTTTGAGCTTCCATGGCTCCAAAATTTCGGACATCCTTGTAGTATTTAGGAAATATTTTGCTAGATTTAAGGCTTAAAAATAATTGTGTAAATATTGTTTATTTTATAAAATAATTAATTAAGAAAATACCAATTATTCACTAAATAAAATAACTAAGAAAATCAGATTTTCTACACATAGAAAATCCAAAAACCATAGTAATTGAATTAGGAATTTTCGGCCCTTATAAATAAATAATAAAATATAATTTTGTTTAATTAAAATATCCGAAATATATAAATAATCCGGGTTTTAAAATAAAATAAATAGATAATAAATCTTATTCAAAATCCAAAAATAATAATTAATTTTTAAAATACTTTTGGAGCCAAAATTCAAATATTATTTTGGCTCCAAAATTCAAAAAGTAGAATAAATTACTAAAATACCCTTTTTAGAAAATAATAATTAATTAATTAATTAGAAAATACGTTTAAAAAATACGGGGTATTATAGTCTACCCCCCTTAAAAGAAGTTTCGTCCCGTAACTTAGCCAAAAGAAATACGAAAATCATTTGAAATTATTGGTTCATGCATATCCTAACTTGACTCAAGACTCCAACCAACTTAAGAAAGACTCAAAATCACTCAAAATGACTCGAAAAGCAAATACGCGAAACTTTATTGCCCTCTACCCCCCTTAAAAAGAGTTATGCTCCCGTAACTCGACCACTAACCTTAGGCAAACAGCTCTAGGTAACGTTTCCTCATATCGACCTCAACTTCCTATGTAGCCTCCTCAGTTTTCTAATTCGACTAAAATACTTTCACAATTCTCACATCTTTATTCCTTGTACTTCTTACTTTAGAATGCAGAATCTTTATTGGTCTTTCCTCATAGGTCAGATTCTCATCCATCATCTCAATGGTTTCTGGTTGCAACACATGGGTCACATCAGGAATATACTTTCAAATTTGACTCACATGGAACACATTGTGAACCCTTTCCAGCTCAGTGAGCAAATCCAATTTATATGCCACTTTTCCTACTTTCTTGATTTCATATGGCCCTATGCCTTTGGGCTCAACTTTCCCTTTTTCCCAAACTTCATTACACCTTTCATGCGTGAAATTTTCAACAAGACTTTCTCTCCTACTTCATATCCTTCCTCTTTCCTTTTCAAATCAGAATAACTTTTCTGTTGGTCTTAGGCTGCTTTTATCTTTTCTTGGATCAACTTCACTTGTTTCACCATATCCTCAATCATCTCTAGCCCAAGTACCATAGTTTCACTTATATCATTCCAACAAACTGGACTTCTACACCTTCTTCCATACAAAGCTTCAAACGGTGCCATTTTAATGCTTGCATGGTAGTTGTTGTTACACCCAATGGGTCTCCAGCGGGCTGGACAGCAGCTAACTGCTGGGTAGCACCTCCTGGTTCGGCCCTGTGCTGATCCGTGGGCTGCTCAAGCTCGTGAACTATTTCTTCAGCATGTTCATAAATATTTTCAGCAGCATTTTCATAATTATTACCAGCAATATCAACAATATCACCCGCATACATCTCATACTCCACAAAATCAGAATCAATTTCATCATTATTGTCACACACAATAGGCACAAAATTCACATCTTCTAGACAACTAAAAGTGAACGCATCTTCAACAAACTTTACATCAAGAGAAACAAAAAACTCCTTGTTTTCAAGATCATACAACCTCCATCCTTTCTTCCCAAACGGATATCCTAAAAATACACATTTTCTACTTCTACTTGCAAATTTATCTCCATTTGTTTTCTGATTATGAGCAAAGCACAAACACCCAAAAGTACATATTGCATCAAAAGAAGGTGGTTTATCAAAGAGAATTTCAAATGGAGTTTTATTTTGTAGCAAAGGAGTAGGAGTACGATTTATCAAATGAGCGGCGACAAGAACACACTCCCCCCAAAAATAGATAGGCAATTTGGCTTGAAATCGTAAAGCTCTCGCAACATTTAAAATGTGCTTGTGTTTTCTCTCAACTCTTCCATTTTGTTGTGGGCTACCCACACATGAGGTTTTAAACAAAATACCAGTTACAGTAAAATAATCAAACAAACAACTAAACTCTGTACCATTATCACTTTGCACCATTTTAATTATTTGAGAAAATTGCCTATTGACCATAGCAATAAAAGCCATAAACATTCGAAACACTTCGGTTTATCAATCAACAGATAAACCCATACTGCTCGGGAAAAATCATCAACAATTGTTAGAAAATAACGAGCTCCACATGATGGAATATGATGATAAGGACCCCACAAATCGCAATAAATTTTCTCAAACATTTTAGAAGTTTTATTATCACTCACAGGAAATTTATCCCTAGGATGTTAAGCACGAAAGCGCACTTCACACCCTTTATGTAAACTATCCTTAGTACTACTAACATGAGGAAGTAACCTGACAACTTTCTCGAATGGATGCCCCATTCGTCTATGCCATAACTCCAAGTTGCTTGTTGATTCATCTACGGACACATGTTGCACCAATTCCGGTTTGCTAAAATAATATAGTCCGTCTTTTTGAACTCCTGTTCCAATCAGCTCTTTCAATTTT